CCGATTTCGTAAGGGACCGTGCTGACGACAAAAAAGATTGATGTCGTGAAAGACGTGCCCATGAGAACAAAATGAGCCACATCTATTTGCTGGCTAAATCGTAGGCAATAGCGACGGCGGGTATTGATGCGGCCATTTCAAAATATGAATTAAGAGACTTTTTGTCGTGAGAAGGCAGAGTAATAGGGGTACAGGTACCTGTACTCTAGTTGCGGGAATAATGGCTTGAAATATCGGAATTTCAAGTTTCCACGGGGGCAGCACAAATCTTTCGTGTGGTGGGAGGCGAATGGTGAGCGACAGAGTGTCCGGGAAGCCAAGTGGAACGTGTGGTGAGATATCTCAAAGTCCACAGCGTGACCGAAATGACTGAGTAGGAGCATTTGCGGGTAGCTAACTCGTGAGAAATAAATTATGAGAATACCCATGCGACGTGATACAGGGAGATATGTGATTGTGGAAGGTTCAGCGAATGAAATTGGAGAAAGACTAGTTACTCAGATTTCCCTCTGTGATCACTTGCAATCCTTTGACTACCATGAGTCTGTTCTGAAATTTGATTGGCGCAGCCGCCGCTCAAAGGGTATAGAGCGGGGCAGTTGGCAAGGACAGGTCATACACTACTTGACTGTAGTAAAGTTTATACCAAGGGTAGACACTTGCAGCGGTACATACTTCACTGTGCAGTAAGTTACACAAAGTTCTGCTCACTCCCCGCAGTAAGAGCCCGGATTTCCGTGACGGCAAGGGAGCAGGCGGGAATTTTGGGCGTCCGAACCCTCTACACTAGAATGTTGGGGCGGGGTTGGTCAGAAAAGGAATCTAATATGCAACTCGCAGACGTCTACTGTCCTTTGGTGGTGTTTCTGCCGGCCACGATCCGCATTAGGACAAAGCCTTCCTGATGGGCTGTTGGCAACTGCACATATTCGCCGCTGTGTTTTGCAAGTGCGATATCACGGGCATCACGTAGCACACCGGCCTTTCCAACAACAAATTGAGCAGAACGCGATGTGGGCCCCAAAATGGATGTGGATTTTTTCAACGTAAAAACACGTTCGCACGAGACACCGTCCTCACCATAGGGCCACGAAAAAGTTACAGTTCTGTACCACTGCCAGCGTGTCCCCGTTCCATCATGTACGACGGGCGCTTGCTCGTGGCACAAGGCTTCTTTCTGTACACGCGTATACTTGTGGCATTCCCGCCATTTCTCTTCTCGTTTCCACTCAGCATCTTCGACATGACGCACGTCGCCTTCGACACATCTCACACGTCGACAAATTACATCGCTCCTTTTTTTCAAGAACTCTCGAAAAATCTGACATCATTCCATCGCCCCTTTGTCTCAAAGCTTTTGCCATAATAAAAAAAAGGAAAAAAGACGCACGGTATTTTCGAAATTTTATTCTACTGCACTGGTACAGAACGGTACCAAGGGCACATACTGCACTACCCTTCGAAAGGTATACACGTCCGGCGTATATCCGGCGCGTCCCGCCCCATTCCCCCATTCCCCCTTTCCGTCTCCTCTCGAGCCTCAATAATATCTTGGGCACAGACACACGCCGTGCCTCGAGGTCGCCTTCCCCTCGTGAAACGCCCTCCGCTCTCGTCCCGCACACTTGCCTTTCTCAATCAACAGCACCAGCTTCCATTGGACCCTACTTCAACCGACCATGCCCTGAGTTTGCAATCATCACCAACATTCACGCACGGCTTCCCATCTCGCAATTTTGTTTGGAAGCAAAACAGAAAGGAAAGAATCAAGTGTATCGGTGAACGTGCACCGCCCAGAAAGATTTTCGCCTGATTTTTCCTGCAGGCTGGGCCCCGTGGAAGCGGCGCGTGCAACACAAGAGCAAGCCTCGGCATGCAGCTGCAGCTGGTCACGGAGATACTCGGACCCCATGACCAGGGAATAGGCCCAACCTGTGTCCCCGCACCTCTCCACAGAACTGTGGTTTTATTCTACCAATCTTCTGTGCTGGTTGATGGAAGAGGACAACGGGCCATTATCATGATTCCTCGCCTTTTCTCGTCGATAACATAAACGTTAGTTCACACGTGGCTTCTTCAAATGCATTTTCGCAAGGAGAAACACCACCACTGCGCAGCTACCCTTTCAAAATAGAACGGGAATGCCTGCCCCAAAAATCCGTTTTCGTTGCACGCAAATCATGTTGTCCAAGGTACGAGGGCATCGCTTTGCCCACCTGCACCATCTGCGCCCGTTCGTGCTCATGCAAAGCCCTCATAGTGTTACTGTTACAAAGTTGTGCGTGATGCCTTGTTCCATTGACAGATGCACCACAGGCCCTTGCGAATGCATCCATGACAGTCGTGTATCCAGCTCCGGCTGATGAGGCGTGACTGAATTCCCAGCTCTGGCGAGAACGTTGCATTGGGTGTTGGTCTGTAGCAAATCCGAAATGCAGTTCTTGCCTTTTTTACATTTATTAATTTGCACCGCAGCTTAGCGGCAAATTTGAAAGATTCTCATGCGCTGTTGCGCAGCAAACCGGACGCACACTCATGTGATTGCACTTAATTTCATCTGATCCGAAGATCCGCGAGGAAGGGATGAAACTTTCCGACTCCTTGGACGTGGACTTCTTCGTAGGCAAGGCCGGGGTATCACTAATTGTCCAACTGATGCGCTGTGCCCCATTGGCCAACGCTAGATTGCGTGCACACCTTACATATTCGCTTGCAACGCAGGCCACGGAACCTCTCAGCGCCGCGACGTGCCGCGTATCTTGTTTTCACACTGTTGTGCGGAAACTCACGCTGGGCATGCGCAGTCATCTTGCACGAGTGCCCTTGTTCCACTTCTGTATGGCATCTGAGATGCATGAAATTTCCATGCGTCCTTGTTGTCTTGAGCCATCATGGCTCTCGAGGGCCACGAAGCGAGTCACTTTTTCGTGCTTGCGCAATATGATATTGGAGTACGACGATCCCCTCCATTGTGCGTCAAAAAAAATGATCCCGGCCAATTTTTTTTATGGCTCCAAGGAGGTGCGCTCCTTCGTCACGCACCGGATTGAAGCGTGACAAGAATTAGCACCAAGGAATACGGTTCTAATGGCAGGGGTAGGGTTCAGGGGTTATACCTCAATAGTCGCAATTCCAATACTAATTCGTTCTATGTGGCGTTGCAGTTAGTCGGTAGACTTCCAAAACATATTAATGGTGCAGCGTAGTTCCGCGAACATATGTGTTCCGCAGTTTCTGCATGCACGTGGTTTACCGAATGGTTGCAATGACGCTGCCCAACGAAGCTATTGGTTATCGCAAGGCTATTCTGTCCACGTTTTTTTATGCCTGGGCGAATAGAACGAAGAATGGTCGGTCTCATGTTTTCGTTCTTGGCAATTCGAAATTCACATTGCAGAATCCACATGGCCCGTCACGAGTGGGGATTTCGTATGAGGCATTGCAATAATAGTATCGCGTCTCGGACACGGCCTTAACACTGGTTTGTCCGGCAAGGTATGGTAAGCGTTCATACTATCTGAGCTTCAAATATATTTGCACGAAATTGAAGACCCATGATCCTGTCGGTACAGAGTGCTGCGCAGCACCGAGGCCTTTCATGTGAATCATAGATATTGCAGCTTTTCACGGTAGTAGACAAGCATGACTACACGTACCACGAACACTGAGGTCGTGTACAGACTGTTCAAAACCAACGCGTTGCTCATATGGTAATTTATTGTACCCATTACCGTTTCCACTCGCAACGCAAGTAGTAATGATCATCATGTCCGCTTCATAGGCATTTGCGGATTTTAGACGTTCGTCCTCATGCAGCGTCAGCGTCCTCATGCAGATAAATTTCTTTTAGAAGTGAGGCATGAAGTGCGCTCCGTGCATGTTGCGAAAGATAATAATATACGAACTTGCCACAAGAAACAAATTATTTCGGCGTCATTGAAGATGACCTCCTTTATAATTAGCCTCTTGGTTCATTCTGGTATCTGTCAAGGCCTCGCTAGGGTGGAAGGAAAAACGAGGTCAAATGGAATGACCCCCTTCTTCGTAGCTGACATATTTTCATACTGCAAGACCGGCGTTGGCATTCCATGGTTTCATCTCTTTTCGCCGGACAGAATGGTGATGGAATCATTCACAAAAACATCTGAAGAAGCTTCAATTCAACGGCGTTTTGAAGAAAAAGCCTTGGTGCGGATAAGTTGAATTCACGGAGGAAGTGATGTTGCCTGCGGATGCCAGCACCATACTCGACTATGCATACAAGGTATGTGCAGCGAATGGGCGATGGAATGTTCAACTGCTTTTTGGGATGCTGTTTTTGTCTTTCGTGAGCTGTTATTGATGCAACTTTCACACCAGCATTTCCAAAAAATTTCGTTGGATGGACAACGTCAAATCCATTTCTTTTTTTTCTGCAATTGCCACAGGTGGAGATATGCACAAGAAGTGCTCTTCTTTTATAAACTGCTTCGATGCTTGAGTGCAACGGGAAAGGGTGCAATACGGATGAAATCGGTCGTTGGGAAGCATTTTCAACATTACGCATCGAAATTACGTTCCAAAACGCTCATTCGCACTATACTCATGAGAGAAGCCACGAAAAACATTGTACCGCGACTACGACAAGCACACAAACACTACAAATACGATAGAAGAGAACTTGCAGATAAATTCGCTCTAAACGGAATGTACAGTAACAGACGCAGCACCGCTCGATACACTGTCATATAGGAACTTGTCCAGGAATCCTCACGCAAACGTGTTCTAGCGAGCGATGCAATCCAGAGCCGTGGTAGGGTCAGTATTGCAATTTTATTGCATCACGAAAAAGCGCAACTGACACGTAGAAGGCATTCCCAGTTCCCAAACTACGGTAAGACCACAACTCTTCAGCAATCAACAGCTGGAATGAGGATTCAGTTAATCCTGGCGACCACCCCATCACATTATTGTTGCTGATCGAACGATCAGAGCCATCCCCCCAGTAGAGCCTCGTCAGCATGTGTTGTCCGCTGAGAAGGGCTACGGTGGGAAGGCGGATATCAGGCACACAACCTCATCTGCATGTTCAACTGTTACGATACTATGACGGACATCAGAATACCGTAGGAGATTGGAGTGATTATCTGTCACGGCCAGAACGAAGGTACGATTGCACGTACGGTGCAGTGTGTTTACAAATATCCATTTTTGGATGCCTCAAGCTCGGTGAGCAACGTAAGTTAGATGCCTTCGTTTCTGTGAGAGTTCTACACAGGCTGCACGCACTTTACATGCATACACTTTGGACCATGAGGACGTCAAGCACAATCCCTCTTTCTCCCTCTCTGCGCGTTCGCGTGGCTCTCATACGGCAGATGTGTAGACTTACAAAAAGGCTCCTCATAGCCTCTTAATCTGCTGCTTGTCTCTTTCGTACGCAAGGATGGAGTGGAAGGGAACGGTGCCTCAAGATTTTGGAATACTTATAGCGGTTTCCAAATAAACCTTCCAAAAAAACTGTCAGCAAGCGCTGCGAAGACGCGCACCGCAGATGCCGATGAAGAAATTATAAAATATCATCCAAACTATGTAAGCGTTCAGACTTGCACGGCCGGCCCATAAGAACACATCCCAACCTTTCCAGAATGTGTGGAGGGGCTCTCTCTCTCTCTTCTCAATTCAAGAGTCAGTCGTGTCCAGTGTCAGAGTCGGTCATCCGCACAAGCTAAGGCTTTGATGCAAACAAAAGGCCGTGTTTGTCCACGATGCAAGCGCAACATGTCATACATAGAAGGGCGTTGAAACCATGACAAATGGTGAGGAACAATAGTTAGCATCGCCGGCGCGTTGGTGTCAGCAGTCAATGCTTGTTGTTGGCACGAATGAAGCACTTGCCCGTGACAACGACTTACCTCGCTTGTGTCATCCATCGCCCGTTGGACTGCCGGTCGGGAGTGACACAAAGTTCATGCGGCAGACCCCCGGGAATGAATTTACATGAACCTCGCATGTGTCATCCATAGCCAGTTGGACTGCTGGTCTGGAGTGACACAAAGTTAATATGGCGGGCCCCAGGGAATGGATTTACACAAAACTCAGACATCACCGCAACCAAAATCATGCCGTACTCGGCACTTGGAGCAAAATATGTGAATGCTCGCTGTGAGACAGCATCCATGACAAGATGGATGCAGCAGGGCAAGAATCGAGTGGTGCAGCTATTGTGCTTGTGAATATGATTTCTACCAACCAACCATGCGCTGCAAGTCAAGATAAGCTTTGCAGAGTTATGATAGTGGCTGCAGAGGACGCAGGTGGGGCCCCAAACATATCGAAAGGCACTGGTGGTGAAGTGCTGTGCAATTTCTCGGTACAGCACGTCGAGGTCGAGCAAGGGCGCATTGCGGAAGGTCTGCTGTAGAGTCTGGCGCTTGCAATCGTTGGCGACTTCGGTGGCTCGCACCTTTCTTTCGCGGCGCGGTAGATGAATGCACGTTGCGACGCGCCGGAAGGTGTTCATCTATACTTTCCAGGGAGTTGCCCATGTAGCATGGCGCGAAGCGACGCAAGGGGGATGGTGCAGGCACGTGCATAGCCATGTCCGGGTGAATGCGTCGTGCGGGCAGGTATATGCGAGAGCAGGCGTTTTTGGACTTTCTCTCCGCAGGGCGTGAATGAGAACCAGAGGGTGGTTTCGGAAATCGAGGGGGTGAGGGGGAAACCAAGGGCGGCATTCTCGATATGGCGGTGGTCGAAGTGCGAGTGGCAGTCAGCGAGGCTAGTGTCTATCGGACGATTGTTTTCATACGAGGACACTTTTCGATTTTTTTTCTTGACTTGCGCTTGCTCGACAAGAATGAAAAAGATACCCTCGCCACCGTACTTGACTTCTGCCGTGGGACCAGAAGGAACTTGGCGGGAATTGCATGTTCTTCCTGGTCGTTTTTAGATACAGTGCCTCCTACGATATAGTGCTATAGCGTGACATACCTCTAGCTATGGCACTATTGGGGGATGGCACTTTATAAAGGAGGCTCAAATACATATATTTGGGGACAAAACACACTGCTAGCACAAACACAACAAAGCCTGTATAGCACAACTAAGGGTGACCCCACCGCCAACAAAATCCCCGCGTATACTAAAATCCGTGTCTGT